GACATCACCATTAACATCATCATCATCATCATCATCATCATCATCGTCATCATCATCATCATCATCTTCATCAGCATCATCATCATCAACGTCGTCATCATTATCAAAATTATCACCACCATCATGGCCATCATCACCATCAGCATCGCACAATCGATCTCACATTCGGTCTCACTATCGAAATCACAATCGATCTCACAATCGACGTCATCAGCATCACCATGATCATCATCACCATCATCAACGACACCAACATCATCATCACCATCATCATCATCATCATCAGCATCATCATCGCCATCATCAACATCATCATCATTACCATCATCATCATCATCACCACCATCATCATCATCATAATCATCCACGTCATCATCGGGACACCGACGGGACACCGAAGGGACACCAGCGGGACACCGGCGGGACACCGCGCGGCACCGGCCGCCCGGTCAAGGTTCTTTTGCCCCGGCCGCGCCTCAGCCACACGGGACACTAGCGGGACACTGGCGGGACACCGCGGGGCACCGGCCGCCCGGTCAAGGTTCTTTTTCTCCGGCCGCGCCTCAGCCACAGGAGATTTTCTTTCGCCCGCCCACGCAGCTTCGCCTCGCCCGCGCGGCACGCACGAACACGAAACCGAAATCGATTTCCCGGTAGGGGGGCTCTCCGTTCCACTTCGATCTCACCCCCCAACCTCCGATATATGTAGCATACAAAATGCTGCTATCGCTGAAGCGCTGGCGTCAGTTTCGGGCCACTGTTCCTTTCGAATCGTGCTCCCGCTGCATCACTGGCCTCATTTCCGCGTTTCCACCCGTTCCGAATCGTGTTTCCGCTGCAGCGTTGGCGCTATTATTTCCAGCGCCATGTCACGGCAGTGTTCTCGGTCGTACCAAATGGCTTCAAGATTAAAAAAAGGCCCCCCGAAACAGTCAATCGGAAGTGATTCCACATTCGGTGTCGATTCGTTGATTTTCTGGTCCGCAGAAGCCCCCCGCAATTTTTGGGCTGCGCGTCCTCATTTCCGCGCTTCCGCGCTTGGGCTTTTGTTCAAAATGCTGCTCTCGCTGAAGCGCTGGCCTCATTTTCGAGCTACCGCTCCTTTCGAATCGTGCTCCCGCTGCAGCGCTGGCCTCATTTCCACGCTTCCGCTCGTTCCGAATCGTGCTCCCGCTGCAGCGCTGGCGTCATTATTTCCAGCGCCATGCCACGGCATGTTTTTCGGCCCCTCCATACAGGCCCCAAAATTTAGAAAATATCCTCCCGAAGAAAGCAGATCTTCAACACCGTGTTAAGCCACGTAATCATATGCCATGCTGCGACATCCGGTTGTGCGAATAGAGAGGAGATCTGCGCCATGGTAAGGGATGGGAGGGATGGGGTAGGACGTCAGATATGACTCGAGCGCACCTGGCTTAGCCCCTCGCCCTCCCCCCTCCCCCCCCTTCGCGCCGCCAACAACGGGGGGGTCAGCGCTGGCGGGGGGTGAACCACCCAGACGTGCTCGCGTCGCAGCACAGCTCATGGCGGGAGGTCTTTGGCCATTTTGTCGGCCTCTCGGGGCCCGTGCCGGGACTCGGGGGATCGTCTGAAGACTCCGCGGGAGGAGCAATAGGCCCAGGGGGAGGAGGGAGGAGGGAGGAGGGAGGAGGGAGGAGGGAGGAGTGCAGGGACCCGTGGTGAAACCATCAGGACATGCACTTCTGGGCAATTCCCGCTGGCTGGCCCCGGGTTGGGAGCCACGTGGGGCAAGTTTCCACCTTTCCTCCACTGTCCACTGGCTCGGGTCTGGGAGCTGCTGAGCGGCCAGCTGGGTTTCGCGACAGGGACCTGGCCGACCTGGGCTTGGGCTGACCCCGGCGTCCCGGCACCCCAAGATGTGTCAGCTCTTTCGGATTCAGTGCCTTCGATTTGCCACCACTTGCTCACTGTAACCTCAGAGGGTCTTGACTGTTAAGGGGGACCCCCCTAAGCCCTCGGTTAGGAACATAACTCGTCTTTCTCCTCCTCGTCTTGCCCCTCCTCATCCTCCCCCTCGTCCTCCCACGCAACGGGCGTCTCTGGCTCGGACTTTGCGTATAAGGATCAAAACGAGCAGGAGGAGGAGAAGGAGGAGGAGGAGGAGGAGGAGGGACGAGGAGGAGGAAAGGAGGACAGGACAGCTGAGGAGGCGGCCGAGTCACGATCGCCAGCCAGCAGTTAAAAGGGGGCCAGAAGCCAAAGGGCCCAGGCTTTCAGCCTGGGGCGGCGTAAGACGCGTACGACGAACCGTCAGAAACAGTTGGAGTGCGTACACTAACGGGAGGGGCGGGGGGCGGGCGGTCCTCGCCTGCCAGCGCCGCGTCCGCGGCCGCGAGCACGGCCACGAAGGCCAGCACCGCCGCGCCCCACAGCAGGCGGCGGCGCCTGTGGCGGTGGGGTAGCGGACGACGACGACGCCGAGGCAGAGGGCAACACGCTCGCTCCGCCTCCGCCTCCCCCACCCCCCGCCCCCGCCTCCACAGGGGAAAACTCGCTTCTAGCCGAGCCGGCCCGGACTGAGAGAGAGAGGAGCCAACAGATCTCGCGTGCGAGGGTGAAGGCCTCGCAGAGCTCTAGAGACCTGGGCCTCCTCATTGGCCCTCGTGGAGGGGACGCGAGATCGTCCGACACAGGTCTTATCAATTTTGGATTCCGACCCTGATCGACAATAAACGCTCCACACTCCAGGCATATCAAAGCGCGTCCATGCCGCTCGGCCTCGTGGCCAAGCGCACGGTACGCCGCAACCTCCCGTTTCACCGCCCCCTCCCCCTCGCCCACCGAGGGAGGAAGAGGGGAAGGATCGAAGCCATCGGCTTGGATGGCCTACTCGGCCGCAGGGGCCAGGAGCAGGGGCTCATACACATCAGGTGAGAGCTGGAAAAAACGGGCGGCCGCTCCTTGCTTGATGGCGTTCGGTGTACACGCAGATGCTCGCAATAACTTCAACGAAAGCTGCGTGCGAGCAAAGTGGTTACACTGCGCGCACCTCTGCTCACCAGTACGCTTGCACACCCACAGCTCATGGGAAATGAGAGACAGGGCAGGCTCGAGCATACGCGTGGCTTCCACCGAGCCGTGTGGCTCCAGAGACCGAGGAAGGAGCGCGGCCGACTTCTGGGCCACAGCCTGCACCATCCAGGCAAAGACATTAGCGGCGGCCTTCGCGTGCTTCAGCTCTCGCTTGTGGACGTCAACCAAGACATCCCCAACAGCATGACTAGCGGCGCCCCACTTGGCAAACATGTCGGCCCAACTGTTGCCAACATAATTGAGGGAACTCGCATCTGGATCCCCCAACACTTCGTCGAGGATCCCATAGCACGAAGCCAACACGTTTCGCCGGCACTGTCTTCGAAATAAGCCAGAATTCTTTGAGACTGCCATCGCTGCAAACCTTCCTCCGGAAATCGCTTCACATCCGAAGGGCAGGTGCGCAACAAATCCACGTGCCTGCCTACGTCGTCCACAATCACAGTAGGGGGCAACATGTTCCAACCAATTCTGAGGAGGGTGAGGAAGGTCGAGGAGATGGGGCCCGAGCTCCGGCCCAGGTCACTCGGCTAGAAAGCCGCTCCTTGATGCGGCCCCAGGCACGGCGCAGGCGACTAGGGCTCACCCGCTGCTCCCAGATCCAGGCAGCGTAACGGCACACAAGCGAAGTTGTGGCACCAAGAACAGGATCATATCTGAAGCTAGCCTGTGCGGCAAGGTACAACGAAAGGCAGCACATCGATTTCGCCCCGCCAGCCCCCCCCGCCATAGTGCGAAGGGTGCGGAGCGCAGTGTCAGAAACTCCTGACACTCCAACACCGTGCGCAGCCGAGGGCATGAGCCCTGTGCGCCACAGGCCGGCTACTCGGTTCCCCACCGCACGACGGAGATTAAGCAGCTTGGCCTTGCGCGTACAAACTTTGCGCACCCGAGACTTTTCCTGGGCCCGCAGGACCCGGGGCCCATGGAGTTCGTGCCCAATATTTTGCATGGCCTTCTTCGAAGCCAGTTTCAAAAGACCAGCAAAACGACTAAACCGCTCACGAGCACGACCAGTGCTAGCAACAAAACCGCACTTGGGGAACTGAACTCGCAACCCCAACGGCTTAACAAGATCTACAAAGGCACGGAGAGCAGCGTAGAGCTCATGCACAGGATCCCTCCCGTCCCGCCTCAGCCCCACAGCCCGCTCCCCCACCCACTGAAAGCTGATGTCATCAATCATCGCGCGAGGAGTCACATTTATAAAATTGCTAACCGTGCTCTGCATACTGCGGTACAGCAGGACCATGAGGAGCGAGCCCGCCAAGATGTCCTGCAGCGAGACAACCGCATACGACAGCCCCCCGTACGCCTTGATGAGACGTGGTTGTACATACGTCTGCACCGCCATCCAACACAGGCGGGGTGGGAAGCCCACCGCGCAAGCCTCCGTCAAGAGAGCGTCGAGCCGCACCGTCTCGTAGCACTTCATCCTGTCAAGGGAGGCATTGACCACATCCTCGTCCAGCTCGTGGCCGATCTCTGCCTCCAAGTTCAAACTGAAAGCGCAGTCAACCGACGAACGACCCGCCCCAGTGCCCCAAAAGGCCTCCACAACGTGATCGCTTTGCCAAGAAGCTGCAAGAGGCCTTCTCACACGGCCCCACACTCGCAGCAGCGCGTGGATCAAGGCAACGAGCCTGCTGCCGCCAGATTCCTTCGGCAGCCTGACCATCTGGGTGACCACACGCTTCTGCGGCCACTGGTGCAGCCTTTCACATGCTGAGAACAACTGGCCCAGCACATACAGCCCCACATGGCTCACATACCAAAGGCTTCGAGGCGAAACATGAAATTGGCCAACTCCAGTGTGCCATGGAAAAGAAAGGGCCGCAGCACGCAACTTTGCGACCGTGATGTCAGGGAGTGTTGCCCACGAACTTGCGCCGGCCGGAAGCGCCACGACCTGTTGTTCATGCAGTCCCCATATATTGTCCCAGGACCTCATGGATTTGTCGGCAAGCACGTGCGGCTGGGCCAGGTCGTTGTGCAGGTTGCCCCAGTCGTAGATCTCCTGGGCTGCTTTCGCTCTGGTGTGGCGATGAGCCTGTCCAGCCCCCTTCTCGGAAGAGCTGGCCGCCCATGTCTTCCAGCCCTCCAGGCACTTCTTGCCATAGGTATCCAGCACCTCATCAGCTCGAGCAAGGATCGCATCGACACTGTCCTCGACGTGCGGGTCCGAGAACATCTGGAAGCCAGAGGCGAAGAAGTTGCCCACCCAAGGGTCGATCGCCTGCAACGCTGTCGATTTGCTGACTCGCTCCAGCCAGCGCCCAATGTTCAGCAAGTGCTTCGCCAACTTCATGACGGCCTCGGGCGACTCCATATCAAGCCCGACGTCCGCTACCAACAGGGACGAGGAGGAGGAGGAGGAGGAGGAGGAGGAGGAAGAGGAGGTGGAGGAGGAGGAGGAGGAGGAGGAGGAGGAAGAGGAGGGGAGGAGGAGGAGGGAGGAGGGAGGAGGGAGGAGGAGGAGAGAGGAGGGAGGAGAGAGGAGGGAGGATGGAGGACGGAGGAGGGAGGAGGGGGAGAGGAGGAGGAGAGTGAGGAGGAGGAGGAGGAGGAGGAGGAGGGAGGAGAGAGGAGGGAGATGATGATGATGATGATGATGATGATGATGATGATGATGATGATGATGATGATGATGATGATGATGATGATGATGATGATGATGACGATGATGATGATGATGATGATGATGATGATGAGATGATGATGATGATGATGATGATGATGATGATGAGGATGAGGATGAGGATGAGGATGGAGGATGAGGATGGATGAGGATGAGATGAGGATGAGGATGAGGATGATGAGATGAGGATGAGGATGAGGATGAGGAGGAGAGAGGAGGAGGAGGAGGAGGAGGAAACAGGAGGAGGAGGAGGGGAGGAGGGAGAGGAGGAGGAGGAGGAGGAGGAGGAGGAGGTTTTTTCGGCATATCACCAGCACGTGGCGTGCGAGTGCGATGACGACGACGGCGGCGTCGACGACTATAGCAGAGGCCTGGACGGTGGCCGCCGCATTGGAATAATCACTTTCAAAAGTTGGGGCCCCAATCCGTCACTAAGCCTGTGGAATACAGTTTCCCATCATTGGGATAGGTATCGAAGACACTGCGCGATTACTCCTGCTGGTCCAGACACCCCGTTGGGGTTCAATTGGCCGAAGCCCCCTTCGAGTTCTGAGCCCCCGCGGTGTTTCAGAAATCTGACCTGCAGGGGTTAGGTTCACACTCGGCCGTCTGTTGGAGGTGGCACAGAAAGGTCCTCCCGTCATCTGGCGGACGAACAAGGTCTGACAGACTTTTCCGCTATCGTGGGCGACCGTCCCAGGGCGGCTGGAGAGCTTCCACCCCCCCGTGATGCCGTAGGGCTGTGCACTTGTCGGCCGTCTTGTGACGGGCGGCCCTGGGGGCGGAGGAGGTCCATCGGATTCCGCGTTTCGCCCGCCCGCTCCTCACCTCGAGGCGGTGGACCACTCCGGCTACACCGCGCTCTCCGAGGCGGCGATGGTGCACGGCTCAGCGCGCCTGCGGGTTCCGGCAGGCGTCACCCTGGACTGGCGACCGACGTTGGCGACCGACGTTGGCCTCCAGAGGCCCCTCTCCAGGGGCAGCGTTGGCGTATAAGGACGGAAAGAGCCTGTTCTACCGCTGCTGGCGGAAAACCGGGGGGTGGTCACTACCAGTTCGACCCCCCCCCCTCTGAAGGCCCTCGGTTTTACTAATTGTTAGCTTCAGTTGTAACCATGTTACAAGTCGGTTATAAGCATTAGTAGCGCTACTAAGTCGGCTAACTCGGGTGGTGCAGTTGGAGGCAGATAGCTTGAACTCGCAAAGTTACTAAGTTCGCTAACTTATACATGCTTACTTGAAAACCAGGTTGTTGCATTGCAATGTCCTTGAATGTTGCGTTCAAAAGCGCAAGCATTTCTTGGACTTTTCTTGGCCATGCATATAGGAAAGTATGATCAACTTGCGTGTGAACGCATTCAGAATCTTGTCTCGAGCGTTGCAAGAATGCGGTGCGTTGCAAATTCGACATATCATCTCGAATACGCAGTCCTCTGTTGCATGTTTGTTGTGCATATCCGTCGAGTTTTGGCTCAAGCCGTTTGGGCTCGGATTCTTTCACACGGCGTGATGAACGCCTCCCTAGAATAAACATAGAACGAATGTCAGTGGTGAGATGATGCCAATCAAGCAAGCGCATTTGCAGCCATACGCGCCTGTGGTTTCATTGTTTGAGGATGTCTGTGGGATCGCCAGGAACATCGATTGCCTCAGGGTGGAGAAGATACATTCAATATTTATGTTTGTGTGTACGGAGAATCGGTATGGGGATGGTATTGTCCCGAGCGAGGGGTTGGATTTGATCGTGAAGATCTTCAGGAATGGTTTCGGAAATTCGGCCCTCATGGATCCAGCTTGCATGGAGCTCCCACCAGTGGACACACCTGAGTATGAGAAGATCAAGACGTTCAATTTCAAAATCATGCGTGATCCTCCAGGCCAGTTACCTCACTATGATTGCGATGCCAAGTTCGCAAGCTATACTTGCGGGCACACGAGCATGGGTTTGCGTTGCTTTAACGCAGAAGTTCCCGTGCCAACGCCAATGCCATAACGATTTGACAACATATCGCATGATGGTAAGTTGTCATTGGGGAGATTGCGGAACGTGCAACCCGATTACGCAAAGTCTTGCGACGAGGGCATCGAATGGAAGGTGTTTCGATGCGAGTTGTTCAAGCAGTTCCCATGGGTCAGCAACCTGGCGCAAGAAGCTGGCAACGCTGGTCAGCATATTGCGAGGTGCGAGAGTCGCATGGGTCTGATGTTCAAAATCGCAGCTATTGCGAACCGCCACCATGCAGACAGCACCATCGATTGGGACAATGTCATCCGTGAGGCCACTCGCGCGGGATCGCTCTTTCCTGGGGAAATCGATGGGTTAGTCAAATGTGCGAAGGAGGTGTCTGGCGGCCTCGCCAACCCCATCTTCCTGAACGAGCTTCGCGACTTCTCGCGGCAGCTGACCTCCCTGCGCGTGGCCACGGATTCTTTGGCGAAGTCTCTCGCCGACGTGCAGATCAAGCATGAGGGGGCCGCGGTGACATTCAAGCTCCCACGCGTGTAGGCGATGACATGCGCGACGGGCAAGTTCGCGAGGATGGCAGCCAGTTGCTTTTGAAGCCGGGCGACGTGACCGCCTTGTCGATCGATAAGAAGTTTATTGTTGTATTGGTGGCTGATGAGTCCCTTCAGAAAGTGCGACGGATCGCAAAAGGCCGAGGCATCGCGGCAGACACGGCCGCCTACGGCACCATCGTGGGATTGACTGACGTTCGCGTAGTTCGTTTCGTGTTCAGCAAGCCCGATCGGCGCTTGGACAATTGCAAGACGATGAATGGCATCCGTGTCGGTTTCGCCGCTGCGTTGGCAGCGCTCGTTGGCAGATCAGTTGCTAGCCCATGGAGTCAGACCGAGCGCGCGCCCAAAGCCGCGACAACGCAAGGGCGCAGCTCCGACGTGAAAGGGTTCGCCGCTTCGAGCAAGTGGTCGAGACAAGTGGGCGAGCTCAGCGACGCAGGGTTTGAGGTTGGCGCCAAAGTCGCCTTGCCGAATGACACCTCGGGCGAGAACGCATGCGAGGTGTTCTCCACCGACGCCGTGGCTGGCGTGAAGTTGCAGCTTCATGCCGCTGGCAATGCGTCGTTCCACCCCACGGGCGACTTCCTACGCGGCCAGTTCGCCGCGTCCACGATTACGAAGGACAGTCTTGCGGGCTCGTCGCAATTCGCTCGACATGCATGCGCCCCATGCATCTGAATGTTCTTGCGTTGTTCCCTCATCTAATTTAGCCCACCGCGCGTCTTCATGTCTCATCTATCTTCGTCGCTGCTCCCCCATCGGAAACGATCGACAAGTTTGCTGGCCATGGCCCCCTCAAGCCGGTCGACTACCAGTGGAGTATAGAGGAGCCTACAATCAGGCTGGCCTTGGACGATGTACACAGCCAAAACGGCAACTCTCTCAAGTACTTGAGTTACGCGACTACGCCTATAGAGTTCCGTGCCCTCACCGCAACGCGTTTGTTTGAGGCTGAGGAGCTGGTGCTTGTTCCGCTCGCGTCGACGATCTACATGAAGAAGCAAACTGATGTAGTTCATGGTCGGGAATGCGTTCATGGAGGCGAGGGTAGGCCGCTCCTGCTGGTTACGTTGAGGTTTGCGCCCTCCCCCAGGAGGGGGGGGGGCCCTCCTGGGACTGGCCTCAGTGCTCGGCGAGAAGTATTTTGTTGACAGGCTCAATTAAATAAATCGAGTAGTGCTTGCGTTTTTTTTTGAATGTAAACGTAGGCGTTTCAATATTATGGGTCGTCGACCCTGCGATGCGCAAGCCGCAGGGACGTTCATAATTTAGCACATCAATGTTTAAAAACATGATGATACATCGCGTGATTTTGAAACACATGTTGGGGAAAACAATAATATGGTTTCCTTAACCTACATTGCACAAATCACACGCACGACCATCATCCATCACAGCGTTACTTCGCAAAATGCAACATGGCAGGGTAATTTCACACATCTGCAGGCGCGCCCGAATGATAACATTGTGGGTGGGCATCACTCAATGTCGGGCTATATAACATCATTCAAGAACGACCCCGTATTTCGAATTACTTCGCTTACCTGGTGTAATTCACACCATACTTCACAACGTCTGATTGTTCGATGTGCGAAGTTTTAAGGCATATGCACGTTGGCCTGTCTGCATGTTGCGCGCTGGCTTTGCGGGGCGCAGCGCCGCTTGACGTCAATCGGTCTACGAGAGAGGAGGATCGCACATGTTGGTGAGAAATGAGAAGGATGGGAATGACGAGTCAGTGTAGCACGCATGCCACGCGGGGTGAAGGATGAGACGGTGGCGACGGCGACGGCGATATCATAGGATGAGGGTTGGGCTCTTGCGAACGGGTCCCTTGGGTTTTTCGTGCGCGCGACTGAAGCATCATGGTGGGCTTCGGGTGCTGCTTGGGGGCCCCTCGGAGCTTCCCAGGGCTTGCGTCCTGCGTCGCATTGGTGGCGCCTAGGCCGCCCAGGAGTCCAGGGGCGTCGGGGAGCAGACAAAGTCTCTCAGGATACCTGAAATACCATCGATGATGTGAGTCAATCAGTTGTTGATCGCTGGCGGCCTCTCGTACCAGTCCCTTCTCACGTCATTCCCCTCCTGTCAGTTTCCATCATCCCCGCCCGTGCCCACCCCTGTTCCTTTCCCCGTGCCAGTTGTTCGCAGCC